TTTTTAAAAAAAAAAAAAAAAAAAAAAAAAAAAAAAAAGTCATTAGAAGGAAACAAAACTACAGAACCACAGCCTTCATGAACACAGATGCAAAATACATCAACAAAATATTAAACGGAATCCATCAATAATTTAAAAGACAATATTTCGTGACCAAGTGGGATTTATCCCAGGAATGAAAGGGTAACTCAACATTGGCAAATCAGTCAGTGTAATTCACCATATCGACAGACAAGAAAGAAGCCTGTTTAACCTTATTAACACCTGCAGTTCTTGGAAGTATTTGACCACAGAACACAATTTGGGAAGCACTGGTCTGTACCATAACAAAACTAATGATACCATTATCTTAATACTTGGTCCTTGACAGGCCTATTGCTATTCTTGAGACAGGGAGTTTAGGACATCTGTTAGCTCTTCACTTCACTCAACAGAAAATTTGTTGAGTATCTAACTCAGTGCCTCGCACTAGTCTGGATGTTGAGAATAAAGCGGTAAACAAAACAGACAAAAATTCCTGCCCTCACAGAGTTTCTGGCCCAGTTCAACTACAGACAAATTTATAATTTTAACTAAAATTCCTATTTGTCTATTTCTTGTTTTGTTTTTGTTTTTTAACCCCGCAGTTTTCTTCAGATAGAGTCCTCTAGATTCATAATTCATCACCCTGCCTGAGGAAAGGGAGACTCACGTTCAAGGACCAAGTCTTTCCTTGAGAAGGAAGCTTTCCCCCACAACATGTTCATGAAAAAGCATTCATTCAAATAATGAAGACTTCGCCAGCTTAGCCAGTGTATTTATACAGTGCTCATACTGTTACAGTCAGGAGCAGTTTACAGTTCTTCACTTTTCCTGAAGCAAAGCCAAGCCTTTATACTTGGGTGAGCCATTTTCCTGGACAAATCTCTAAAGCAAGTCCCTTAAGACCATCGCACAGGGACTAGAAATAACAAGTTGAGGAAAGAACCTCTTCAAGAATCACACATTAATATAAGTTAGGAAGTAGTCTGACTAAATTTCCACCCAGTCAATACAAGCTGTTCTGGTCCTTGGATGACTTCATGTTTATTTCATTCTAACTCTGGAAGACTTGATCAGTCTACTTGACTAAAACAGAAGTAATGAGAACAGCTTTAGGAAATGAAAATTGCTCTCTCCTTAACTGGTGCATTTTGTATCATCCTACAAGATGAAAAATGAATCTAGTAAAAGGCTTGCACTAACAGCTTTGTGAGAGTTGGAAGGGGCTTTCTAGTCATTTGAACCTTCTATTCTGTACTAGAATTCCTTCTACAGCATTCTTGACTTCTAGTCAACCATCTGGGCCCTTGTTCAAACAAGACCAATGACCCTGTAAGGCTACCTATCCCACTGGAGGACAATTCTTGTTAGATTCTTGTTTTATTGAACTTAAATCTGCTTCATGTAACATTCATTAAAAATAACGCTGCCCACTGGGGTACCTAAGATTAAGTATCTCCTTTTTTTTTTTTTTACATTTGCCCCTCAAATACCTGAGAAGAACCATCATGTGTTCTCTTTTCCAGGCTAAGCATCCCTATTTCCTTCAAACATTCTTCTTTTAACACAGTTTCTAAAGCTTTCAAGAGACTCACTGTCTACCTCTAAATACATTCCAGTTTGTCAGTATCCTTCAGAACAGGAATAATTTTTTTGGCTTAATGCTAATATGGAAACTACTTATCCTATGGCATGTGGCTGAATATGGTAAATGTTGTCCTTATCTTACCTAATATTGCTATATAAAGATAATGAAAAAGAATGGTTATTTCAGGATTTCAAATAAGGAAAAGCTACATTTAAAATCCTAAATATGATTCTAGAAGACAAATGGGAACTATATATGAAAATGTTAAAGAAAAAAATAGAGAAAAGATTGTTGATACTGCTGATGTGGACATACAGCAGATACTTTAATCCCTAATCAAATAATGTGAAAATACAAAACATTTTGCCAGTGGAATCCAATACAAGTGTTTAGCCATAGATTTCTGAGTCAACATTGCTGAGAAAGGCTCAGTCTTTCAAAATGGAAAGTTATACCTACATTTTCTCACCCAAATTATATTAGAATGTCATACTTTGATATTTTGATGTCAAGTAATTTAAAAATGAAGGTTACAGAAAGTAGACACTGCCATATCATGAAAGATTTAAAATGCAAACATTTAGGATTTAGTTGAGGTTACAAGGGAACCAAGAAAAATCAAAAGCTAACTTAAGCTAAAAGAGTGAGGAAATTTTCCTGACGGCTTAGTGACCATCCAAAACGGTCACCAATTTTCCCTCAGGAATCATTGAAAAACACGCTAGACAAAGGATATGGTAGCAACCAAGTGGAACCCTTCACCAACAAATGAGTAAAACAGTAAAATTCTTCTCTATTTCCTTTTTTTTTTTTTTTTTTTTGTCTTTTGTCATTTTTCCGTGTCCGGCAACAGATCGCAACCCTCAGTGTTGCCCCCGTACCGGACCAGGGACCGGCAACGGGATCGCAA